TTTCCTGTCATAGGAGGGGGGGGGGGTGTAATAAAACATGCATATTAACACTCTCATAAAAATAATTTAAAAAACGTCTGAAACAGATTGATTTCTTTATGATTAATTATTATCAAATAAATACTGTGTATTGGCTTTATTAAACCTAATATAATTTGATTTAAAGTTATTTATAATTTTATGCACAATGAATGAAAACATACCCTATGCACGCTTCCCCAAAAGTCGAAGTGCTGAAATTCCCAGAAAAAAATAAAGGAATAGTAATTTTCTTGTTATATGCACATCTATGCACATTGTGTCCTAAATATCTGCAAAGTTTGACGAAATTGTGTGCAGCTGTTTATGAGGAATTGCGCTGACAAACTGCTCATCTTTACATTCAAGATATGGCCAAAATCTAAATGTAAAAGTGCGGAAATTCCCGAAAAAATATAGAATTCGGAATTTCCTGGTGATGTGCAAATCTAGACACACATTGACTGCTATAAATATCTCGAAAGTTCGACAAAACTCTGTTCAGTGGTTTATAAGAAGTTGCGCTGACCAGAATTTAATGTGAATTCAATTTCTTGACATAATTAAATAATTAATGATTGCTAGAAAAAGCAGATAGAAAGAGAGAGCAACCCCCCCCCCCGGTGAGAATTTCACATTCTACCTAAATTTAGCTTTTTAGAAATTCTCTTATCTGTTGTCCAGGTTCAGGTTCAACTCGTACGTTTGAACATAGGTGTCGGAACCGGGGGATGTTTTTTTTTTTTTTTTTTTTTTTTTTTTACAAATATATACCCGTTACTTTGTATAGACATTGAACATTGCTGCGTAGGTTTAGCGCCCCCCCCCCCCCACTTTCTAAAGACAAGTCGCAGTATAGGTTAAAAAAGAGGAAAGTGTTGGTGTTTGGAGAAAAATTTTGTTATTAAAGTTCTAACCTACCTTCCCCCCCCCTTTCCCCCCAAACGAAATGATATTCGTGTTTTGGAAAAGGACATTTCCCCTTTTTTTAAGCTTCTCAGATTCTTTGAATGTATAAAAAAATTCTTTGCACTTAGCCCCCCCCCTTTCAATTTGCTTTCGACGCCAATGCGTTTTAGAAGGTATTTGAGAGAGTTCCCAATGTACCCATTCCTGTGATGTATATTTCACGTTTATTATATCCCCCGCTTGAAAAGTGAGAGGGTATATAGTAATAGTTATGTCCGTCCGTCGGGTCTGTTACGCTTTGGGGTACCCATCTCTTATCCGCAAATCCTCTTATACCACTTAGTGAAATTTACTAAAACTTTCACAGAATCTTATAGGTTTATTACATATTACCATTGTGCACTTCCTATTTTACTTTTTGATCCGACACGTATTTTGGGTTTAGCGACAACAGCAAAATATGGACTTTGCCATTATAACCATATGGGAGGCGGGGGTATCATTTAGTGAGCTCATTGCTCACAATACCTCTAGTTTCTCTTTCAATTTGGCCGTTTGGGTTATCTTCTTGTCCAAATTTAAATTATTATTCAATTTATGAAGTTTCGACATCCCGCCTGAAAAAAAAAAATCCTTGATCTGTCCTAAGGCTTAATAAATGGTACAGCAGAAAGTGCGTAGGATCTTATACCTATTATTGCTCTAAGGGATGGTTACAGAGTGAGAGAGAGAGAGAGGGATCGAGAGAGAGGGAGAGTTAGTTCAATATACAAAAGAGTAAATAAAAATTATCCGTATTCAACCAGTGTCAAGAATCCCTACCCTAGCTTTTAAAATTATCTCCCAAATACTCCTACAGAAATTATTTTTATATAAAAAAAAAATAGCGAGACTATCAGGCAGGGATACTGAAATCTCGATAGACTCTCTATAACAACATAATTATAAAACATTTATACATTCCTCAAAATGCACATACTTTGTGGTCGGAGTGACACATTTAAAAAAAATTTCAAAATTGAATTCGGCAGAGATGTCTGTCTTCCAAGAATATTTAGATAATGGTCATGTCAATTATTTTTGCACGCCCCCCCCCCGCCGAAAAATCAAATGCCTAGATGTCAATCTGAACAGGGGATGGCATTTCTTCGTGTGTTTGTGTGTTAAAGAACGTATAGATCTATGTACACATAAAAAAAATGTATTCTGGTTAATTGCTTTTAAGATTTGAAGTAAATAATTACCGTACATCAAATTACTTGGTTTAGATTTGAGATTAGTACTAAAATAATCAGTTATAATTGACAAATGAATTTTGCGACGCAAACCAACTGCAGACTATATACATGACTTTGTATAGAATGTATATTAGAACTACATGTAGATAGACATTTCACAATTATAGCTTATGAACAGCAGTTATAATACCCCCCCCCCTTTCAGCCGCGCAAATACCAAATAACTTCTCTTTCCACTTGTGATATTTTCCCTGACCAAAATCTGATCAGCACGGACTAGTAGGGAGTAATGACAGTGTGTTTACTTTTGAGCTTTTACGGAATTTATTTCTTTTTTGTGATGCATATTTCAATAAATGGAATTCAGGGTGTATATCACTTGACCTGTGCACATCTTCGAACCGATGCAGTAACCTTATTACCAGGTATGGGTACGTTTACAGCGTTCGAGGCGTTTTGTCGATATGCACCAATTGCATAGGGGCTGCACGTTGGTTGTTTTGTTCCATTCAAATGATATAATTTCAAAATGTGTGTGCAGATTTTACTGCTTTTTATTTCAAGTTTATTTTGCATAAATTGGCGCACTGTAAAAATACGTACGCGTGACGTGCATCTAAATTTCTCACCAAACTTGCATTTTTTTCTTTTGATTCAAATCAATAATTATTCAGAAATATGATTTTTATGTTGTTTATTGTGGTTTTGAAATGTCTTGATCTCCTCATGTGTTCTCCTATGCTTTACCATCGGAGATGTGCACAAGTCGATACCCAAACCAAAAAATCATTCAACTGTAACGAGCGCTTTGGGGTATATATCGTTACAATGAGACAAGGTATCTGAAAGAAATATGGCGGAATACGGCTATAGTTGGTATGAAACAAGTCGTACATAGATGAAAATGTTGCGTTTTTAAGAATTCATGTCAGCTTTAACAATGAAAGTGAATTTGAGAGCGGTGCCGAATTTGAAAGTTTATGTTTATTTCAAAGGTTTTGCTTGTTTCGGTATAATAAACAATTCATTGCATGAATGTTCGGGAAACATGAAGACTTATTCAGCCAAGAAATATCATATTCCCCTCGGGCGAAGGTAGAGTCTATAACTTAACCCAGTCAACGCATCCGGAAAAATAATTTCCGATTTGGTTAATATATTATATATATATATTGTACGCCGAACCCGATGCATTTTAATGATATTTTAGCGGGAAAAATAAATGTAGAGCAGTCCGAATATCATGGTTGATGAAAAGAAATATAAGAAAAGTAATTGAATGGAGTCATAGTGATGTTTCCACATGGACGAAGAAAGAGGGTATGTATAGAACTTATTATTTCATGTATGCATTCATTTTCTTACGATTTTTTCTAACGTTACCTGGATACATGCACAGAGTCGGCTATCTTGTTAACAGGATCAATCTAATAAACAACGGGCATACAGGAAAAATTGTCAACCAAAAGTTATTCCTTTTTAAGTCTTCTGATGAAATTTGAAAATTTTCCATTTTTGCAGTGTTAATTTATAGCCCATTCGGGATATTATATCCCAAACTGACTATTATATCCCATTTGGACAATTGGTCCCAACCTGATTAACATTTAAAAAAAAAAAGACTACTGAGCATCAATTAACAACAATCAAGTCTGAAAAAAATTAGTAATTGTGATTGTTAAAAGTATTAAATAAATAAGCCTGCCATTGCACAAAAAAACTAGAAACCTACTTATCCTACTCGTTGTGTGTTTTGTAAAGTCTTGTTGATAAAAAACACACAAATTGGTTGAATAAAAAGCATATTCAACTACAAATCATGGGAAATCCTATATAAACACTTGATAACCAAGTCACTATGCAACAACATAATGGGGTCAAACAAAAAATACCCCTATCAGTACACTACATAACATGGTCACTACACTGTTACCCTGATACTGCGCTACATAACCCAATCATTACACTATATAATCCAGTCACTACACAACATATCCCAGCCATTTTACTGCATAACCCAGTCACAACACAACATAAAAAAGTCACGACACTGCATATCCCAGTCACTACACAACATAACCCAGTCACTACACAACATAACCCAGTCACGACACTTCATATCCCAGTCACTGCGCAACATAATCCAGTCACTACACAACATAACCCAGTCACTACACTACATATCCTAGTCACTGCACTACATATCCCAGTCACTGCACTACATATCCCAGTCACTGCACAACATAACCCAGTCACTAAACAACATATCCCAGTCACTACACTACATATCCCAGTCACTACACTACATAAAACAGTCACTACACTACATATCCCAGTCACTGCACAGCATAACCCAGTCACTACACAACACATCCCAGTCACTGCGCAACATATCCCAGTCACTGCACAACATATCCCAGTCACTACAATACATAACCTAGTCACTACAATACATAAAACAATCACTGCACTACATATCGCAGTCACTGCACAACATAACCCAGTCACTGCACAACATAACCCAGTCACTACACAACATGTCCCAGTCACTACACTACATATCACAGTCACTGCACAGCATAACCCAGTCACTGCACAGCATAACCCAGTCACTACACAACACATCCCAGTCACTGCGCAACATAACCCAGTCACTACACAACATATCCCAGTCACTAATATGTTCATTTTAAATGCTGTATCAAAAATTGCACTGAAAAAATTATTGAATCTTTTCATTGGAACTTAAGATAATTTATGTGCAGTTCCAAAGGTATTTTCTGTTTACATTTCAATGGACAATATGCTGACTTACTTTAATAGGAACAAGAACATCAAGATGAAATGTTCTGCAGCAAACCTTTGCCTGGGTAAGAGTTTGCAGATAATTATTTGATTTTGAAGTCATGAATGCAAAAGAAATTTAGAACTGTACTCTATTTGTAATTCTTTGTCATTTATTGTCTTAATTCCTCTTTTTGGTTACTTTTTTACCAGGTCTATATAAAATTTTAAATAATTTTCCAGATCCATTTTCACTCGATATAGAACCTTCCAAACTCTTGAAAATGAAGAATTGGAAAGTATCTTTATAGATAGTCCACTGTATGTATACTCAATAATTTTTAATTTTTTTTTACCAGATCTATTACATGTTTAAAAAGCAGCATAACAATTTATGAATGTACTCCCTTTACCCATTAGAATATATGTAAGCATGCATTATTTTCAAAAGATTTTTCTTTTTTCAGAATGGCAGTTCACTATTTCTCATTCATTCTGCTGAAAGAAGCAATGGTTTATCTGATCTGTAACAAAACAGGACTGCCTTATGAAGAGGCTGATGCAAGATGCTCATCAACAGAGTGTTTAGTGAAAGATGTCCATCTATAAGTGACTGTTCAGTCCAAAAACTTATTATGCCATACAAACTTATAATGCCATACAACAAACCAGTATTTGGTTCTTTTGTAACTTCATATGTGATAAATGTTGCAGTATGATGTGTAGTGACTGGATTGTGTTGTGAAGTGACTGGATTATGTAGTCAAATGAATGGATTATGTTGTGTTGTGATTGGGTTATGTAGTGCGGTGACTGGGTTATGTTATGTAGTGACTGGGATATGTTGTGTAGTGACTGGGTTATGTTGTGTAGTGACTGGGATATGTTGTGCAGTGACTGGGTTATGTAATGTAGTGACTGTTTTATGTTGTGCAGTGACTGGGATATGTTGTGCAGTGACTGGGTTATGTTGTGTAGTGACTGGGTTATGTTGTGTAGTGATTGGGATATGTTGTGTAGTGACTGGGATATGTTGTATTGTAGTGACTGAGATATGTAGAGTAGTGACTGGGATATGTTGTGTAGTGACTGGGTTATGTTGCGCAGTGACTGAATTATGTAGTGTTGTGACTGAGATATGTAGTGTAGTGACTGGGTTATGTTGTGTAGTGACTGGGATATGTAGTGTAGTAACTAGGTAATGTTGTGTAGTGACTGGGATATGTTGTGCAGTGACTGGGATATGTAGTGTAGTGACTGTTTTATGTTGTGCAGTGACTGGGATATGTAGTGTAGTGACTAGGTTATGTTGTGTAGTGACTGGGATATGTTGTGCAGTGACTGGGTTATGTGGTGTAGTGACTGTTTTATGTTGTGCAGTGACTGGGATATGTTGTGTAGTGACTGGGATATGTATTGTAGTGACTGGGTTATGTTGTGTAGTGACTAGGATATGTAGTGTTGTGACTGGGTTATGTTTTGCAGTGAATTGGATATGTAGTGTAGTGACTGGGTTATGTTGTGCAGTGACTGGGATATGTAGAGTAGTGGCTGGGATATGTTGTGTAGTGACTGGGTTATGTTGTGTAGTGACTGGGTTAAGTTGTGTAGTGACTGGGTTATGTTGCGCAGTGATTGGGATGTGTTGTGTAGTGACAGGGTTATGTTGTGTAGTGACTGGGATTTGTTGTGTAGTGACTGGGTTATGTTGTGTAGTGACTGGGTTATGTTGTGTAGTGACATTTTTTTGTAGTGAAGAGACTACCATATATACTCGCCTATAAGTCGGTTTTTTGGGAGTAAATATCTGGTCCAAAACTCTGTATCCGACTTATAGGCGAGCTATCAAAACAATGGTATTATATGAGGTCAGTCCTTCTGAAATATAAGCTAATTAAATACAACCGACTTATAGGCGGACCGACTTATAGGCGAGTATATACGGTAGTTTATGTAGTGCAGTGACTGAGTTATGTAGTGTTGTGACAGGTTCATTTTAGCTAATGACTGGATTTAGTTTCTGTATTTATTGGGTTTCATTATAAAATGAATTGTCAATTTTATGCAGTAATATAATATGTAGTGACCTAATTATTATACTTAATGAATGGTTATCAAGTGATGGGTTATGTTATGAAGTGATGTGTGTTATGTTCCAGGGTAACCCTGTTATGATTTTGTAATATTATGACTGCATTATATTGTATCATGCCTTGAATATTTTGCATCATAATTAAGTTATGGAAGTTACATTTGTGTTGTAGTGACTTGGTTATGCTTTTATTATCAAGTTATGTTTATACATAAATTGATACTTTTGTACTGTGTTATTCAGTACTGTTATTGATTTATAGTTTACTGTGTTCTTATTTTTTCCATTGCAACAAAGTGACCATGTGACATTATAATTAAGATGGGCAGATATTGATTTCAGTAGGTTAATAATTTTAAAAATGGAATATAAATCATCCATTAATTTATTGTTTTATGTTCATAATGATTTGTTTTGTGTTTTTCTTATTTTCTTTCTTTATCATCTGGTTTTGCTTTTCCCTTCGTTTTGTTTTGATCCAATTTAGAAGATTGTGGAAATGTCAACATATATATGTGTCAAATATAAGGGCAAGTCAGTATAGAATGATTCTGAAAATGAATGCATGCATACATTATCAGTATATTAGGTCTATTTTGCATAAGCACAATTACTTGTAGTAATGTACTGTAACATTTCTTTCCTGATTACATTCAAGTTTGAGTTTGAATGCATGAGTGTCTTGAATACCTATAAGATTAGTATATGTTTACTCGCTAGACAGATCAACTATGCATTTTATAAGGCATTGTTTCAAGGTACCCATTGCATTCAAGTCAGGCTTTTAGTCGCTATACTTATGCAATATTAATTTGAATGATTATTTTTAAAATTTATGGTCTCATATCTGTAACGATGTGGTCAAACAAATTGAGTGAGATGCGTTAATAATAATCTCATTAAGATTTGTAGAGAATAAACATTTTGGATTGTTATACCTTTAAGAATTTGTTCCTATACAAATCTATACAAAAAAAGTCTAATGTTTTGCTGAGCGGGCATAAAAAAAATCGATGTTGGACCACAGAGTTCTCGAGCAAAATGCGTTTTGTTGGACCCTCGAACCAAACTGTCTGCCTTTGGCCTAAACGCCTCAGGCAGGCAGTTTGGTTCGAGGGTCCGACAAAACGCATGTTGCCCTCGAACTCAGTCAATAAATGTATATTGACATCTCCAGACCAAATTTTTTAGTCTCTACAAATCTTGCTGAGATTATGTTAGTCTTATTGAAAATTTGTTTGAAAAGTTATTGCTTTATCTGACGATGTGATTTATATTTCCATAATTACATTCCTGTATTGTTTTTTAAACTGTGTGTAGGATGGGAAGGTTAACGGTTAAGCAATGAATAAATAATATATAATAATTGTGGTTTTACTAATTTGTGGAAAGGAATCGATTGCACTGATCAACACATCAAACAAAAACTAGAAAGTCTGCTATTGCAAGCAATTAATAGCGTATGTTGCCCCGAACTGGACAAGACTTTCCTTTTTTCATCCATTAGCTCGATCAGCTTGGACAACCATCAACTCGTATCAGTCCTTTCAGTACTTTGATTTGAAAATCAAAATATTAACTTTTGTAATAATTTCAGATGTCACCGGATAGAACGGCGCATTCGGGGTGGCGGTGGGGCGTGACACGGGGTGGCGGCACCGAAGCGAGAAAAACACCATCAAGGTGTGTTTACCTGAATTTTTTTCATATGTTCAGACGTCTTAGATCAGAAAATTGTATGCTACGGAAGAGAACAATATCAACGTACCTCTGACTCTTTAAAGCAGCCTTTGAGAGTGCTCCGTTTTCTCAAACACTCCTCCTCACTTTTCGGGGTATCAACGTTTTCGACTTCTGACATGATATTTTGTTTCAAAATTGACCTCAGAGGGGGTTTTTCCTCACATCATCAACAGAAATAAAGTTATACGGTAGAATTTAACTTCAATCCTACTTTAAAAGTCAATAAATGTTACTTATTAAGCCAATTTAGGCTTCAAACTCTATGCGACGATCGGGGTGGCGGTTTTTATGCCCTGCGGGGTGGCTGCATGTCCGAAAAATAAAGATTATTTTCTCATTCAGCGTTCTCCTGGCCCCCTTGCAAGACAAAAAAGATTCACATTTCATAGAGAAATTTAGATTATGGCATGGCATGATGTTATTTCGCTATAAATGTGGCTATGTCAAACTTTTAAGAAGTTTATTTTTATAATTTAAAGTCCGAACTGAACAAGGAATAGACACTTTATAATGATACAATGTAGTGGTGCGTATTGCTATGTACAGTTGCTAAATTGAAGTTTTGAACAAAAGTCCATGTTAAAGTCATATACGCTATATAGACGCCAAATTTTGTGTGAAACAAAATGATAAATGATTTAAAACACATGAAGTGTAACGAAAAATAATACTTTCCACAAAATTGTACTATATATGTCGTTGTATTAACAAAACAATAAAACAATATCTAGGAATTCAGAATTCAGTCTTTTCATGAATATTGATAAAGGAAGTGCGTAAACAGTAGGTCTATATATAGAAACACATGTCCACGGGAAATCACAGACAACGAGGTATGCTGCATTTTGACAACAATTATTGATATATGGTTAATATGCATCATAACAGAGAAGATGGTTGGTACTGAAAACACTAAAAACTAAGTACCATTAAGTAAAACGCTTGCCATCCACGTCAAAAGTGAGTAGTATTTCAAACGGCCTACCTTGTTTTCTTTACGCCACGTGTGTTTATCAATCTAAAAGTAGCGACGGCGTCACGTGATGGGTTTATTTAAAAATAGCTATTTTTCTTTCCTTGCAGGAAAATAAATAATCATAATTTGATAACTTTGTAATGCGTTTAATTTTTATGGTGTAATTTACAATATTTTCGTAACTTGTATTGATAAACAAATAATATCAATTTCCAATAGTATTTTAACTGGCGCAAGTTACAGCGTGTATACTTTTAAGCAGAATAATCAAGATAAATTCAATATATTGTGATAATCTGTTTATCCGGGACAAACGTTCATAGCCGAAAGATGTGAAATTAACTGAAATTGTCGATTTATTTGTATCACACTAAAATAATGCTAAAAATTGGCCAAACCCTCTGCACTTAATTAATGCGTTTTACAAGAAGTTGACTTGTAAAATGCATTAATTAGGTGCAGAAGGTTTGGCCAATTTTTATAAAGCCCCTAATTTGACTAATTACGGGCAAAAAAACTTGAAAATCTATCATAGATGATTGCTATCCATTCCTATATCTTTTAAGTGAGACGGGAAGGGGGATATCCCATCCACTAAATGCAAAAAGAACAAATAATTTCACTTTAACAAATCTCAATACGGCCCTCAATAATGGACAAAAACTTTACCATACATTAGCTTCAGAAGAAAAAATAAAAGGGTTGGTGCTAATTGAAAGAGAACAAAATTCAAACCTGGAAAAAAATTGACAAGCAAAAGAAGTAAATTATTCAAACGTTAAATCCTGTTTCTTGGGGGAGGTGTTAAGATAGACCAATATTCTTTCAGTACCATTTTCTTTTTCAAAACCCATGCACAACGCGCCCTTCTTTGAATACACTGTAACCTGTGCGTGTAGAAAGGGGTGGGGCTAAAACTACCCCCAAAATGTTCAATGTCTTTATTATGTCTATCTTTGCAAAAAGTGGGTGGGGCTATGCCATACAAGAAACTGTAGAATCCCCCCTCCCCGACCATGTTCGGTCTAATCCATTGGAACAAACGTAAAATGAACTGAAATAAAAAGCATAAAAACGACAACGAGAGCATACCGGTGTTGTAGAGTAAGATTTCCCCTATAGCCAGCTTTCCCCCCGGAAATCGTACTCTAGAGTAGGATTTTCCACTTAGGGGAAGCTCATACCAGAGTAAAATACCCCTCTTTCTTTCTCAGAGTAGCATTCCCCCCCCCCCCCCCCCCTCGTTTATAGAGTCAATGTAAACCACAACCGCAATACTCAGTATCTTTGTGAAAAAAAGATAAACGGCAAACTGATTTTTAAAAGGTAAATGAGTGGGTTTAATTAATTATATTGTAAGGCAAATCATGTAATCTCAAACCAAAATATTTTAGCTTTCAAATGAAATGTAAATATTCTCAAAATATAATGAAACAAACAAAAATGATGTCTAGATTGGTATATATTTTTGGACCTACATGTATTTTGGTTGTAAATGATTACAAAAATAAAATTTCTAAAATATCTAAAAATTGTAAACTTACTAAGATGTTCAAATTTCCACCTTTCTGTAACCATCCTTATTAATCTATATAATTTTTTCGTCATATTAAATCTCCTTAAATCCCATTTTTTGAAACTTTTGATGAAAAGTTTTACTTTCATTTTACATATTTAAAAACTGTAGATCACTATATTTTCGCGACATCTTATTTTCGCGAGATAGTCATTGACTCTTGATAAGCGATACAAATTTTCACGAATTGTGGTTCTTGCTCTATATAATTCTATAGAATACTATTATACGCGAGAATCAAATTTTCGCTAGCACTCTTTCTCGCGTAATTACTAGTACTCGAAAATAAAGTTCTAGCGAATAAAAAGTGATTTCAGTAGCACATAAATTAAAATTTTCAAGGTTTGTTGTATCATCTGTCATTAAATTAGATTTCATCGGGGGGAGGGGGGATTGACTCTGAGGAAATCAAATTCTATAACTATAATATACAGATTAGGTTTCCTACCCCCAGAAAATTGACTCTGGTGTGGGATTTCCGTAGGGGAAATTCTACTCTAGAATCTTTCCACAGGAAAGTCTACTTCAGAGCCAGTTTTCCGAGGGGGGGGGGGGGGGAGTTAAGGGCGGAAAGCCTACTCTACAAGACCGGTAACATACTTAATTATGTAATACATATGGTAGAGTAAAAAATTAACGTCCTTGAGCCCCCCCCCTTAACATGGGACAAGAAAAAATGTTCAGGGATAAATATAATTTGAAATAACATGATTTCCATTCAACTTTTAAGTTTTCACTAACCTAGTGGTGTAACAACACATCAATATAACAAACCATAGTCGTTTTTATTTTACCAATTTCTCTTTTCTTGTTTATTATTCTTTGAAGTTTACTATTTTGTCTCATCTTTTTGCCAATCGCAGATCAGATAATGGGCACTCCAACAATATAATCAGATCACTCGTTTTGTACAAGACATTTGGCAATTTTAAAAAAAAAAAAAAACAATCTTTTACGTTATCTACAGATATTTCTCAATGAAGCAAGGTTTGCTGGAAAATATTCCTGGAAAAACATCGTGCGCCAATTAATTAATGCATTACTATCAAATCTTATCCTGGACAACCAGAACCGAAATGGACAGTGACTTTGTGATGTTTCAAGATTGACATCCCTGCATCATCCCTGTAAGAATACATACCGGGGGGGGGGGGGGGTAAATTCGAGTTTTCTTTTGAAAAAATGAAACTGCTAAAATTTGTCGCAAAATTATGGACCACAGATACTTGTGAACAGAACCCCCCGATATTAAATCTTTCTTCATAAATGAATTACTAAATTGTTTATACTTATTCATCATTATTGCAATAGGTAAAAATCGTAAAAACCCCAAAACAATCGCTCCACAAAAATACCTCTCTCTTTTAATGTATAGTGGTTTATACTGCTTTACTTAGACTTTTGTTCAAAACTTAAATGCAGCAACTGCATGCATAAAGCAATACGCACTGATCATGATAAAGTGTCAATTTCTTGTTCAGTTCGGACTTTAAATTATAAAAATAAACTTCTTAAAGTTTGACATAGCCACATTTATAGCGAAATAACATCATGCCATGCCATAATCTAAATTTCTCTAGGAGATCTGAATATTTTTTGTCCTGCAAGGGGGCCAGGAGAACGCTGAATGAGAAAATAATCTTTATTTCTCGGACATGCTGCCACCCCGCAGGGCATAAAAACCGCCACCCCGATCGTCGCATAGAGTTTGAAGCCTAAATTGGCTTAATTAGTAACATTTATTGACTTTTAAAGAAGGATTGAAGTTAAATTCTATCGTATAACTTTATTACTGTTGATGATTTGAGAAAAAAAAACCCGTTGAGGTCAATTTTGAAACAGAATATCACGTCAGAAGTCGAAAACATTGATACCCCAAAAAGTGAGGAGGAGTGTTTGAGAAAACGGAGCACTCGATCTCAAAGGCTGCTTTAAACAGTCAGAGGTACGTTGATGTTTGTTCTCTTCCGTAGCATACAATTTTCTGATCTAAGACGTCTGAACATATGAAAAAAATTCAGGTAAACACACCTTGATGGTGTTTTTCTCGCTTCGGTGCCGCCACCCCGAG